CTCCCTGACTCAGATCTCTTCTTTTCCTGGCTTATGTCTATTTTTCCCTTGAGGGCTAGGCTTAACCAATTTCTCCTCCTAAGAAGCCTTCTCTGACCTTCCAGTGCTGGGTTAGGCAACATTTCTCTGTGCTCTCCTGGTGTCTGTTCCTCTCACAACACAACATTTCTCACACTGCCTGTTTCCTTGCCTTTCTTTCCCACTAGGCTATATGAACAAAAATCCCTAAGCTTAGTACCATGTCTGACAGATGCTTATTAATTGTTCAGTGATTGAAAAACTTTCAGAGGCCGGGCACGGTGGCTCAAGCCTGTAATCCCAGCACTTTGGGAGGCCGAGGCGGGTGGATCACAAGGTCGAGAGATCGAGACCAACCTGGTCAACATGGTGAAACCCCGTCTCTACTAAAAATACAAAAAATTAGCTGGGCATGGTGGCGCGTGCCTGTAATCCCAGCTACTCAGGAGGCTGAGGCAGGAGAATTGCCTGAACCCAGGAGGCGGAGGTTGCGATGAGCCGAGATCGCGCCATTGCACTCCAGCCTGGGTAACAAGGGCGAAACTCCGTCTCAAAAAAAAAAAAAAAAAAAAACTTTCTAAAAATGAGGTATCCAATGAAAGACAATCTCAACAAATAACCTCCTCAAATGTTAGCCAGGTAGCTGGTCTAAATGACTTTAAGGTCTCTCAACTACAAGATTCTATCCAATAAATTCAGCACAGTGACCTAATTGGTCACATTTGTTTGAACAGGTAGGCAATGCTGGGGCCATCAAATTTTTAAGGAGAATGTGACATGACCAGACACATGATCATGTGTTTGTTACCCTATTAACCAGCTCTGAGACACTGCCTCCTCCAATCCGCAGTTATCAGGACAAAATTCCAACCATCTTCATAAACAGCCCACTCCCCTAAATACACCAACAGAAAACGGTCAAAGGGCATTTTGAAAGGCTATTTTCAGCATCTAACTCCATCTTAAACACCTGCAAGCAATGAGGAACCATCAACATCCTATAAGAACCCAAAAGCTAATCCCTCCTGTGTACCTTTATGGAACGAGGGGGAAGAGGGAGCATTTAATAAAAGTGATCTACTTAATCATCCTGAGTAGTTGTGATCCAAGCTGCTGTCACTGCACTGTTATTCCTGATAACTGCAGCCCTATATCCCCAAACCCTGGATGGTCAGAAGGGCAGGTGAAAACAAGGTGAGGGTGAGGAGTTATCTAGATTCTATTTTAAGGGTATAATGACCCAGTGTGGTGGCTCATGCCAGTAATCCCAGCACTTTGGGAGGCCAAGAGGGGGAATCACCTGAGGTCAGGAGTTCAAAATCAGCCTGGCCAACCTGGTGAAACCTCATCTCTACCAAAAATACAAAAATTAGCCAAAACAGGCTTAAGTGATAAAGAACATCAATCTAAGGGGGAGAGGAGTGGGTCTTACTCAAGAGATACAACCTGGCCTGGGTTCCTGCTCTGGAGCTGCATGCCACATCTCTGCTGCAGGTGAGGACTACTATTTCGCATTTACAACACACTCTGAAACTAAGGAAGACACTAAGTGTGCCAGCTTTGCAGTCACAAAAAGACAAATATTGCACGATTCCACTTACATGAGGTTCCTAGAATAGTCAAATTCATAGAAAGTAGAATGATAGATTTCAGGGGCTGGAGGGAGGAGGGAATGGGGAGTCAGTATTTAACAGAGTTTCAATTGGGGAAGATAATGGGCAGTGGTGATGGTTGCATAACCATGTGAATATACATAATGTCACATAAATATACACTTTGAAATGGTTAAAACTGTAAATTTTATGTTATACATATTTTACCACAATTTTCTTTTTAAAAAAGCATGCCAGCTTTAAGGTTATACTGTCTGCAGTCTGAATCCTGGCTTGGTCACTTACCAGTTAAATGACCCTGAGGCAGGTCATGTAACTTCTCTAAGCTTGTTTCTTTTCTAAAACAGAGATAATAATAATACTTAATTCGGCCGGGCGCGGTGGCTCAAGCCTGTAATCCCAGCACTTTGGGAGGCCGAGGTGGGTGGATCACGAGGTCAAGAGATCGAGACCATCCTGGTCAACAAGGTGAAACCCCGTCTCTACTAAATATACAAAAAATTAGCTGGGCATGGTGGCGTGTGCCTGTAATCCCAGCTACTGAGGAGGCTGAGACAGGAGAATTGCCTGAACCCAGGAAGCGGAGGTTGCGGTGAGCCGAGATCACGCCATTGCACTCCAGCCTGGGTAACAAGAGTGAAACTCCGTATCAAAAAAAAAACAAACAAACAAACAAAAAACTTAATTCATCAGTTGCTCTGAGAATTAAGTAACATAGTCCATAAAGTCCTCAGTTCAGTGACTGGTGATACACGTTAAGTACCTTAATAAATTCAGCCATTATTACTACCACTATAAAGCACTTTCACAACCATTTTCTTTCAGTCCCCACAACAATCCTATGAGAGGTTACAGATAAGGAAACTGAGGCTCAGAGAGCCACAATGAGTGGCTCAGTTTGTGATGCCAAATCAAATCCTCTGCTCCAGGTGTCCTGTCCTCATTACTTACTCATTCTGTCATCTAAGGCAAGTGCTATGCTACGTCTCCATTCCCTCACAGTAAAAAGGAGACATAAATCAAGCTCTGCAAACTCCCTCACAGCAATGGATTAGAAATTAAATCAGAGCCGGGCGCGGTGGCTCACGCCTGTAATCCCAGCACTTTGGGAGGCCGAGGCAGGTGGATCTCAAGGTCAAGAGATCGAGACCATCCTGGTCAACATGGTGAAACCCTGTCTCTACTAAAAATACAAAAAATTAGCTGGGCATGGTGGTGCGTACCTGTAATCCCAGCTACTCAGGAGGCTGAGGCAGGAGAATTGCCTGAACCCAGGAGATGGAGGTTGCGGTGAGCGGAGACCATGCCATTGCACTCCAGCCAGCCTGGGTAACAAGAGCAAAACTCTGTCTCAAAAAAAAAAAAAAAAAAAGAAAGAAAGAAAAGAAGTTAAATCAGATAATGGTTATGGAAGCGTATATAAGCCATAAACATATAAAACTGAAGTGGTGACTTATGAGAACTAGTACACCTGTGCTTAAACCTGGCCTTCCTTTGATACTAACCATAAGGCACAGAAAGTGGTAGAAACTAAAACTTCCTTGGGATTTCCAATTACTCAATATTCCTGACCTTAAGGCCTGAATAAGTAGTTTCCCGCCCTTTTAAGAAGTGGCAAGGTATGGGAGAAATAAAAATATTACTGTATTAGAAGGAAGAAAACGGAATTCTAGTTCTCACTCTGACACTAAGGCAGTCTGAATTCAGACCACTACTTCCCCTTTCCAACGTTCAGTTAACAGGGAAGCAGGGAAAGGCAGATATGAAAAAGTTGGATGTCTGTAAAACCCTTTCAGCTCCTACATAGGACTTCTAAATCCAGAATCCTGGCCAAGACCTACCAGACTCCAAAGGACTAATGCAAACATCAAGAGACTCCTCAAGACCTGGCCCAGAAACTCTCCTGCCTGATTTTTAGACACTCCCTCAAACCGGATCAAACACATTGGAAAACTGGAACATTTGCCAAAGTTAATTTTAGTTCACTTTAACCACTCTGGGCCTTATCTGAAAATAGGAGAAATATTGTTTGAAAGCAGGTGACTTGAGCTATTCCTCCAGCCTCCACCAAACTAGGATCGATAAATCCAAACAAAGAGAACCTGCAAGGTCTGAGAGGAGGACCACGCCACACACAAAATAAAGCGTGAATCCCACCGTTTAGTCTCAAGGCTTCCTTGAGACAAAACCCCAGGGAATTTCAGTTGTGTCTGAGATCTGGAGTCTCTGCATCCATTAACTTCTACTGCCGCAATACTAGCAAGGAATTCATCCAAACCTTTCCCCTTGGAGATATGGTAATCCCAGAATGAGATTTCATCCACAGTGTAGCTGACAACGGCCCAGAAGTAAGGGAAAACCTAGAGCTATGTCCCTAATTAAATGGTGTGACCCAAGGCTCGGTTAAAATGCCCTCTGCACTAAGAGATGATACATGCTCACACTACGAAATTTAATAAATAACAGGTGCTAGCACCGCTCCTTTACACTTCTGTGGCTCCTGTGACTTGGAGAAAATTGCTTGACCCCTCTGCGCCTTGATTTCTGCTTCTATAAATAGGGATAAACTAGAAGGCCGTTGTGAGCATTAAAAGAAATAATGTTCCTGGGAGAAGTGTCATTAAATGTTGCCTGTTAGTGTTAAACACTTCTTTCACATATCAGTTCCCTCCCTGAATCCATGAACACCCCGCGAGGCGAGTTTCCCTCTTTCCCCCCATGCCACCGAGTGGCAAACTAAGGCTTAGCCACCAAGGCGACTGAGTGAAATGCGGATACGGCCCCAGCTTGAGGGCCCGTTGTTGCTTCTCTCCGAACCCAAGGTGTGCAAAGAGCCCAGAAGAGGCGGGAGCCGAGGCAGGACCAGCTCTGCGCGCCTCCGGGAGCCCGTAGACCCAGCCGGGGTAGGAGGGCCGGAAGCAGCCGGGGCCGGGCCCGCCCGAGGCCTCCCCGGAGCAGCCTCCGTTCCCCTCCCTCCGCCCCTCGCCGGGCGGGGCGGGGCGGAGCGCGAGCACAAAAGACTCCCAACTTCCGAGCGGGCGCGGGCCCACCCAGCCAACTACCGGCCCAGGCTCGGCCCGCGGGGAGGGGGCAGTCAGGGAACGCCTGGGCGGCCCGGAGCGGGCGCGGGAGCGGGCGCTGGGGGCTGGGGGCTGGGGGCTGGGGCTGGCGACCCGGGGCGGCGGGTCCGGGTGGGAGAGAAGAGCGGCGGCGGGGGCCTGGAGTTACTCGGGCTCCCAGGACTCCCCGAAGGGCAGAAATAAGAGTTTCTAAAAATAGCCAGCGGCCCGCCAGAAGTGGATGAACGGAAAGGCACAAAGCACACACCCTTCCCGCACCCCTAAGGAGACGCCCGCAGCCCCCACTCACCCGCGCCCAAAGGTCTGGAGGAAGCCGCGCGGCTGGGAAGGAGGCGGTGCCGCTGCACTCGGGGACGTCAGGGAGGGAGGAAAAGGGCGGCTGCGGCGGGAGGAGGCTGGGCACTCGCGCGGGAGTCGTAGTCGTAGTCGCCGTCGCCGACGCCGCTACCGCCCCCTCAGCTTCTTCGGGCTCCGCTACCCCGCACCCGCGCCCGCGCCCGCGCCGCTCGCGCGCTTCGCCGCACTGACAGCGACGCGAGCCCCGCAACCGCGAGCCCTGCCTTCGGCCAGCACCACTGACGCCCGCGGGGGTGGGGGCACCCGGAGCGGCTCCCCTCAGCTCGGCCCCGCCCGCCACTCTGTCCCTGGTCCAGGGCTCTCCCACGTCTCTGTCTACAGGGAAGGACTCGATGACACGAGCACGAGGAGTCCGCAGCCCCACCCAGAAACAGCTCGGCTCCCCAGGCGCAAGGGTTCTCCCCACCCTCCTAGCCAGGCTTTGGAAAGGTCCAGAGCTTCGGCGGGGACAGGAGAAAGGCGGGTCCAGGGCAGGGCCTGAAAGGGAGGAGGGACTGAGACGCGGCTCGGGGGGCGGGGCTGGGGCGGGAAGAGAGAGTCGCTTGCTCAGGTTTGGAGCCAAAGTGGAGGCGGAGCTAAGAGAGTGGTATGGCCCTGGGAAGAAGCCGCGCAGGTAGGGAAAATGGTGCAAGCGACGGGGACCGGGAGCCAGGAAACTGCTTGAACAGAGATGCTGTGGGCCTGGCCAAAGGAGAACTGCCCAGAGGGCGGAGCCATGGGCAGAGGGAGGCGGAGCTGAAGAGGAGCCTAGAGTGGGAAGAAGATAGAAGCGACCCTGAAGAGGCGGGCCCGGAAGCAGCGGGGGGAGGAGGGGCCCTAGGGGTGGCTGCTCAGGGCGGGAGCCGGAAGGAGGCGTGCCTCAGGGAAGGACTGACAGGTGGTGCTCGAGGTGGGCGGAGCCTGAGGATGGCTCTCAGACCAGCAGGCCGAGGGTGGTGCCTGCTGGTTTGAGCAGGGATCCGGAAGAGACGAGGCAGGAAGAAACTCCTGGTCCTTTCGCTTTCAAGGAACGTGGCACCAAGACGGGGTCAGTGAGGGACGCTCTTCGCTGCCTAAGCTGGGACTGGGCGGAGAGGCCGCGCTGAGGGTGGTCTCCGAAAAAGGTGCGGGAGATGTTTTATAACTCGATCCGGGTGCTAGTCCTCCCTCCTACACATTACTCCTGTCAGGACCTCTCGCTTGGAATCAGTGTTCCACCCTCCAGTGAACAGCCGGAGTCTTCCTAATAAGACCACAAGAGGACCGTTGCCCTTCATTCCTCGGCTATGGACTTCCCTGAAAGTTGAGGACTGACCATATTCTCGATGCCGCCTCTGACCTGTGATTTCGTGGCTCACATCGCTTCCCCTGAACCTGCTTAAGAGGCGGGATTCCTTAGAATGGAGCAGAGTTTGAATTTAGAGTCCTGGCTTTGCCATACCAGCAGTTAGAATTGCCCTTCTGTTGTTTGATGACCTCCTTGTCCTGTTTCAAAAGGAAAATAAATCAGAGTTGACGACCTTGAGAGCAATGCCTGGGACGTTCTTCCACAAACTCTGCTTTAATATCACCTCCTCAAAAGAGCTCTTCCCAGAACACCTTGTCTCAAGATGTTCTCTAGTTTGTCTTCTTGTTCTGTCATGTATTTGTCTGTTCATTGTTTATTTGTGTGTTTTTTGATACGGAGTCTCGCTCTGTTGCCTAGGCTGGAGTGCAGTGGTGTGATATCGGCTCACTGCAACCTCTGCCTCCTGTGTTCAAAGCAATTCTCATGCCTCAGCCTCCCAAATAGCTGAGATTACAGGTGTGCACCACCATGCCCGGATGATTTTTGTATTTTTAGTGGAGACAGGGTTCCACCATGTTGGCCAGGCTGGTCTCTACTCCTGACCTCAGGGGATCCCACCTTGGCCTCCTGAAGTGCTGAGTGAGATTACAGGTGTGAGCCACCCCACACCCTGCCATGTTTGTTTGGTTTTTGAGACAGGGTCTCATTCTGTTGCCCAGGCTGGAGTGCAGTGGCATGATGAAAACTCATTGCAGCCTCAACCTCCCAAACTCAAGCAATCCTCCCACCTCAGCCTCCCTAGTAGCTGAGACTACTGGCATATACTACCACTCTGGGCTACCTTTTTTTTTAACTTTCACTATATTGTCCAAGCTGGTCTTGAACTCCTGAGTTCAAGTGATCTTCCTGCCTTGGCCTTACAGATGTGAGTCTCCATGCCTGGCAGAAGGGAGATATTTCTAAGGAAATATGCTGACAATCTAGCTAACACTTAGTGAAAATTTACTAATTCCCATGCAGTCTGCTAAGTGTTTTTCAAGCATATTTAATTTTCACAACATCCCTATGAGGTAGGTACTGTTCTTACTCCGTTATACAGATGAGGAAACTGTGGCACAAAGAGGTTAACTTTCCCAAGGTCACACAGTTGGTAAATGATGGAGTACTGCAGGCCGAATTACTATATTATCCTACCTCCTAATTATTAAGGACCTAGGGTCGTTGGTCCAATAAAGGTGAAGAACGAAGATGTGACATTCTTTCGCTTTCAGGATAGTGTGGCATAGGGTATGATACCTACCTAGAGTTGCAGCAGATTTTTTATTTTTATTTTTAGCCACAAGAGGGAGGCCAGTCAGAAGACAAAACCATCACATGGAGGAGGGCAAGACAAAAAACATTACAGAATAAAATGAGCCAGAGACTTGATCCAGCCTATTCCTGAAGTTTGACCCACCTCTGGACTTTAACGTGAACATTTTTATAGTATTTTGAGTTGTAATTTTTATAATTGGCAGCCATTATTTCCTAACTAAAACATGAGTAGAGTCCAACAGGTGGAGCTAATTAACAATAAAGTGTCAAGGTTGGAAGAATATAATTAATTTGGTTCGTCTGCATTTTTAATCCCCCTAGTAATCCTACAAGGTTAGTTCTGTTTTTTTCCCCCCATTTCACAAATGAGGAAATGTGATATGGCCAATGTATGGCTACTCAGGAGACTGGAGCAGGAGAATCACTTGAATCTGGGAAGTGGAGGTTGCAGTGAGCCAAGATCATACCACTGCACCGTAGCCTAGGCAACAGCAAGACTCTGACTCAAAAACAAAACAAAGTTTTGTTATTATCAATGTGAAAGGCATTCTGCTTTCTATTGGAATCCATAAAATCATTAACTATTACAACTGGAAAGTTCCTCCAAGACACCTCATCCAGGGGTTTTCAAACTTCTCAAGCTGTCCACCCTTCTTACCCAAGACCTTTCACAGAAAGGCAATGTATAAAACAGATGAGGGAGAGGGGGCTTTGCTTGAAGCAGGGGAGAGGAACCCAGAGTCATTCCTACTAGGCCTCTCCACAAGCCACCCAGCCACAAGCCACCCTTCTTAAGCAGTGATCCCTCCACAAAATCTCAGGGCGTTGCAGAATACAATTTAAGAATCATCATTCTTTCCCAGGTCCTGTTTTACAGATAAGAAAATGGAGGCTCAGAAAAGCATCGAGATTTACTTAATGGTTTCTGGAGGAAGTCAGTGGCAGGGAAGGATACCTGCCTCACAGGATAATGCACTTTCCAGTGGGAATAGCGCTATCTCTTTCCTGCTCTGCGTTTGAGAATAAACCCTGTCTTGGCTCCTTCCTGACGGGTGAGAAGTAGCCCTCCTGGAACTGCCTCAAAGCTCCTGGTTATCACCAGTGTTCTCTGTTGCAAATTACAAAACATAAATAAACTCAGGCTAACAGACACAGCAAAGGAATTTATCAGGAAGAAATGGGGAGCTCCCAGAACTGATGGGAAAGCTGGAGAACCAGGCTCAGAAAAGGCACTGAAGTGGTGAGCACAGACACTTGAATGTTGTCAGGACTCTCTTCCCAGTCCTATCACTTCTCTGTGTGTGAGCTTTTCTCCTCAAGGCTAGACACATGGCTGCAGCAGTGCTCACCACTCACAGCTCACCCGCTCAACCAGAGACTGAGGATTTCTGCTTCTGGTCTGAAGGACAAAATTTTAGGGAAAAACTTCGATTGGCCCAACATGGCTAAGTCCCTGACCCTGGTCCAATCATCTGTGGCTGGAGAGCCAGGTGCTGTAACTGGCCCAACTTAAACCAGGTGCCACTCTTTAACCAATCATTGTGAGTAAATAGGGAAGTGGGACATACCAGGAGATGGCAGTGGCATCAGAACCATATGATCAGCGAAAGATGCATTTCCCAAAAGATGAAGTTCATGGTCCGGGCAGATTGAATAATAGAATTTGACTACACCTGCCTCAGAGTCATCCCCCACTAATACATTACTCACTGCTCAACTCTCATTTCCTCCACTGTGCAAAACCCTTCAATGGGCCAGGCACAGTGGCTCATACCTGTAATCCCAGCACTTTGGGAGCCCAAGGCGGGAGGATCACTTGACGTCAGCAGTTCAAGACCAGCATGGCCAACATGGTGAAACCCCCATTTCTACTAAAAATACAAAAATTAGCCTGGCATGGTGGCGGGCACCTGTAATCTCAGCTACTCGGGAGGCTGAGGTGGGACAATCACTTGAACCTGGGAGGCAGAGGTTGCAGTGAGCCAAGATCATGCCTGGGAAACAGAGCGAGACCCTGTCTCAAAAAAACAAAAACAAAACAACCCTCCAGTGCCTTCCCATTGTCATGTCATCAGCATGGATCAAAAACTCAAATGTCATGCCAGGCGCAGTGGCTCACACCTGTAATCCCAGCATTCTGGGAGGCTGAGGCAGGAGGATTGTTTGAACCCAGGAGTTTGAGACCAGCCTCGGCAATGTAGTGAGACCCTGTCTCTACAAAAAAAAATTTTGTAATTAGCCAGGCATGGTGGCATGTGCCTATAATTCCAGCTACTTGGGAGGCTAAGGCCAGAGGATCACTTGAGCCCAGGAGGCCACGGCTACAGTGAGCCATGCTCATACCACTGTACTCCAGCCTCAGCAACAGAGTGAGAACCTGTCTCAAAACAAACAGCAACAATAGCAAACCCTCAAGTGTCTACAGGGGCTAGAAAGCAGGTTGGGTGAGACAATAGAGAGTGGAGAGCAATGTCATGAACTGGAGAGCATGTGTTGCATATACAGAGGACAGCCAGCCAACTGTTCCTAGAATGCAGGTGCTGAGATGCAGGATTCTTCAAGAGAGCCCCCAAATCTGGATTTTCATATAAAGTTTCCCAATTTCTAAATGTTGGCTCAACTATCTTTTTTTTTTTTTTTTTTTGAGACGGAGTTTCGCTCTTGTTACCCAGGCTGGAGTGCAATGGCGCGATCTCGGCTCACCGCAACCTCCGCCTCCTAGGTTCAGGCAATTCTCCTGCCTCAGCC